AGGTGCTAATGAGCTCAAATCCAGCCCCTGGTTAAGCGTGGTACCCGCGTACAGCCCCTCCCCCCCAATAATTTTTCCTGCGTAAGTTAATAATTTGGGGTTTTGAGGAGTTAGACAGCTGCAATCTTAAGGGGTGTTTCCTGTCTAAGTGTTTGTCCGAGTTCAAACCCTGCCCGCGGGTAAGCGTGGTACCTACGTTCAGGCCCGTGAAAAGTTCCTTCCGGGCAAGTTACTTACTCGAGAACGTGAGAAGCTAGAAGGCTGGAATTTTGGAGGGATGTTTCCAGACAGCTCTGGCGGCCAGCCTGAAATTCTTTCAGCTAGAAGCATTTGCCGAAAAGACCGATGCCGGCAACGACAAGAACTGCAGGGAACTCTGCAAAAAACGCATCTTCGCACGGGCAGCCCGTGCGTTGGCCAATTTTATTATTGCGTCTTTAAGAGTTACACAACCAAAATTATAAATGGCCATTAAAATGCTGTTTTACTGCTCTATCTTTAAATCGCAGTTTCCTTTATAAGGAGAAACAAGTGGGACGAATGCTGCGCTCAGTTTAAAGCTACACTGTGGTAGGATTGTATTTGAACAGCACGACGATGTTGGCAACAGATTAATTGTCAGCTATCGCCCCAGTACACCCTAGGTTAACCTGCGAAGCTACCAAAATGAATATTTTTTTTTCATCTAATGAATTTTTTTTCATCTATGAATATTTTTTTCATAAATATTTTCAAAATGAATATTTTTTCATCAGTGAATATTTTTTTCATTTGAATACTTCTTTCATCATATGTAACAAAAATTCCACGAGCTCAAAGCAATCAGTAACTGGAACTGCTAGCTATGAAAACCAGCGATATTCTTTTCTGTGATAAATTAATAATAGCGTACCTATAAAAGAACAGAATGGAAGCGCCATTAATTTATTTCCCTCAAACAAATTACAACAGAAATCACTCCTTCTCACGCCAGCGAGCTACTACAACTGGAGAAGCTCTGTTACCCGGAACTATCATCAATAAATGCGACTGAACGGGGTTTTAACACTTGGATTTTAAGTTAAAATCCAAACTACATTCATTTTCAGTTCAAAAAAGACTTCACCATCAAAAAAGTGCATTGTTTTCTTGGTAGCTGCTGTTCAT